TTTAATATATTATTTGTAAAATATTGAGTGAAATTGATATAATGGCCGAAAAAAAAAAAAAAAACGCAGTCCATTTTTTCTTCACAAACATCAGTCTTTTTTTCTCAAAAATCAAGCTCAAATTGAATAAATAAAATCAAATTGAATACATGTGATGATAATCAACACTATAACGAATCAAAAGCCTATAAATTTAACATATTATTTGTAAAATATTGAGTGAATTTGATAGAATGGTGGGAAAAAAAAAAAACGTAGTTTTTACCTGTTTTTCGTGCACCCGTGGCTTCAAATTCAAATTTGATATGTATTCATCCAAACTACTCACAAATTATGAACATAAACTTCTGAACAACACTCTTACGATCCATAACCCTCAGATTTTACAAAAAATGATACCCTCTTTTGCTTGAAATCAAAGAAATGGCGGAACCCTAAAACTTTTTTAGGGTTCTTCACGGATCCAAATTTTTTTGATCAAAATCGGTGATTTTACTACCTTTTATTGACTGAAATGGCTGAAAAATTTAAAATAAAGCCTGCAAGATTCAATTATAAAGCTGAAAAAGATAAAAAATGATAAGAAAATGACAAAAAACCATGAAAATCGTAAAAAACACTGTACAGCCCGTGTTCTCGGACGAGTCACTGTTGAGACTCGACGATTCACTATTGGGAATCGCCCGGTTCTCTCTAAACACGAGTGATTCCCGGTATTGTAGTGGAATCGGTACGGGGTCTGCCGATTCTCGAATCGAACCGGGCGACTCGCCGAGTTTTCCAACCCTTCTCTTGATTCATCAAAACTTCACCTTTCATAAAAGCGAGACTAACATTACGCACAAGGTTATAATAATCGTCAAGTCTAACTCAAAGGTGCAGCAGTCGACCTGGGCCCAGAGTGCAAATCACTATGTAAGCCCTTCTATGGGGCGGAAAAGCGTTTTTAAAGGTTTCTTTATTTATTATTTTTTATGTTTTTTGTCTTCTCTTTCAGCCAACAATTTATCTCTAAGCTCCATTTTGTTCAACTTGAATATAATCGCCCAAAAATCATTTTATTGAAGAAAACTTGCCTCTTTGCGAGAGTTTTACATTAAAAAATTATTCATTTTTTAGCCTTACGACCCAGCCTGCCTTTCTCGCATTCTCTCGCTTTCATTTCTCAACGAAATCATCAAAAACTTTGAAACACTAACAGACCGCTGTAACAATTTATTTGATTAAAAAGCGTAATCGAAGAAATCAAGTTTCCAACTTTAGGGAGATTTTAAACCTAAAAAGAACAATTGAATTTCTCTCTCATTGTTTCACCAAATTATTTTAGATTTGTCCCCAAATGCCTCGATCAAGTTGATCTACAAAACGGTTAACAAAATTTTTGAGTCTATAAGATTGATTTTTAGTTTTTTCAACATCTTTTGTGCCAAATATTTTTATTTATTTTTTTTGTTTTTATTTATACCTCCTTTTGTATGATATAAATTATTTGATTTTGAATTATTGATTTATGTCTTTATCTGTATTTTTAGAGTCCATTTCTGAATTTTCTCTATGTTTTTTAATATTTTTCCCCATATATTAGTTGAATCACCTGACCAAGAATAGTGACTCGATAGTTCGAATGAGGATAGGTGGTGACCGGTTCAATCCACTTATCCGAGTTGTTAAGCATTAGCCCTGCACATAAAAAGTTATGCTCATAAAAACCGGCTTCCTTACTTGAATGGAAATTTTGTAATTGAGCAAGCTTTCTATGTTTCTCCTACAGCATAAAACTTATATGCTTCCCCTTATCCAACCATCCATTTTGAATGGAGGGCTAGATTACCCCAATTACAATGTCACTATTTTATTTTTAATTTTTAATTTTTAATTTTTACAATAGTGGAGGGCTAAAACCTACACTATTTTATTTTTAATTTTTTCTATAAACTATTTTGGCACCAAATTTTGAATGTTCAATCCTCTATTAAACTCGTACTAGTGAATAACATATATATATAAAAATATGTCTAATAAAATAAAATGACCAAACCACTTTTGAAATTTTTAAGGGGTATTTTGGTCATTATATTTTATCGAAAAATTATTTTTAATATTTTTTATAGGTGCGGCCCAATAAAAATATAGCACGCACCAAATTTCATATTCATATAATTTGTATTAAAAAAACTAAAAATAAAATACTTTGAGACGTCGAATTTAAGATCCAATGATGAGTGGCTCTCTTGATCAAAATTGGATGGCTGGATGATAGGAGAAGTATATTTCTTTTATGCTACAGGGGAAGTATAGGAACCTTGCCCTTTTTAATTTACGTGGATTCTTACTTCCCAGGTGATTTTTTTATTGTTTTAATGGGATGTGTCGGACCCTAGTGATCGGATCCTTGGATTTCTCGAATATACAAATGCTTTTGCCTGGACTAATTGGAAAATTAGATGTATTCCAGGAAGGCAAATATCATTCTTGTTTTGAACCTTTCCATGAAGGCAAGATTACCCATGATAGAGAGTCTAAGTCACAAAGGTGGAGGTTTGCTTGAAATTTCCTTTACATATGGTATTATATGTAGTTCATCTAATATTTTAATTTGGAGTTGTATACTATAAGACTATTTACTGTATAAAGTGTTCACAATCACGTCCAGCCATCAGATGCGAAATATAACAGCTTGAAGTGCATCATATAGTTCGTTTTTTTTTTTTTCTTTTGTTTTTATCATGTCTATGCTACATCCTCTGCTTCTCGATTTAACATTCATTGTGCAAAGATAAATATTAAACATAGATTTATTAGGATGGGTTTTTTTTTGCATCAGTCTTTCAAAGTCTTTTAACAATCCATCTTAGATTTTGATTTTGGATAAAAATTACAAGTCAATTATCTGGATCATCTCAATGCTGAAATGAATATTGATTTTGGTCCCAAATATAGGCTATTTCAAATTTCATTTTCAGATCATTTATGACCATTTATTTTAGGGAAAATATCTCCGTGCATTCTATTTTGAAATTTTATTGCCCAATAGACCCAGGATTTGAAAATATTTATGACGGCATAAAAATCCCCTATAATATATCTTCTAATACTTTGGACCAATTTTACTCATTTTGACCATCTCATTTTTGTCCAAACAAAAGTAAAAAAGATGCATGTCTATTCCTTTTTAAACCTTTCTCTCTCTCTCTATTACGAGTCTTTCTTTTTCTCCATTTGTTTTTCCCCAAAACCTCTCTCTTTCTCTCACCCATCTCTCCTTCACATCTTTTTTTAAGAGAGAGAGAAAAACTCCTTATAAAGAGGGGTTTAGAAAGTAATAAATATATGCATTTTTTTAATTTTTGTTTGGGTTAAAAAGAGATAAAACTGATCCGAGAGTTAAAAGATATACTAAATGAGATTTCTATACGGAGTATTTTCAAACCCTGGGTTGGTTGGGAAATGAAACTTCAAAATACAGTGTACAGAGATATTGTCCATTTGTTATAACTCTCCAGCAAACAAGATTTGCATATTTTTTGGAGTCACAAATTATGGATCTAAAGTAGAAATGAATCTAAAGAAATTGAACAAATTGCGGATCCCGAATTTGAGACAAATTTTCAAAAGGGTACTCCATTTCTAAGGACCACATTTAAAGTTTTGTTGCTTTATTACATAGACAAGACACGAAAAATATCAAGGACATGAGGATTTTATATCGTGTCACATATCAAGTGGACATATTCTAATGTGCTTCCACTTAACATGAGCATGGCCTGACAAAGAAAGGGTACGTTCAATCGGACTAATGGCAATTGCATTAAAAAAAAAAACCAATCAAAATACATGTAGAGTTAAAAGGTAAATTGAATCACATGAGTATAGGCTGTCAACTCAGATTTAAACATAATGCACTGCCAAATTCTAACACTACTCATGGCTATACATATGGCTATACATAGATAAAAGTACTAGTTAAGGAAAAGTAGAGATAAAAGTCATCATAGATGGGCACTTACATGAAGTGTCTCGAAAGGCAGTTTTGTGGAAGGTAACCACAACCCAAGTGGAAATCACCCTATTACTCCCACCAACTACTTTAAACCTCATAAACATTCCATTAGTCGACAATCATCAACTATAAATGCCCACAAATGAGGCACCATTTTTTATTCCATGAACCAGGCCATCCCTTGGTTTACATCCATGGAGTCATGGAAACCTTACTTGGCGATGGTCGTGGTGCAGTCCATATATGCAGGCATGGCCTTGTTCTCAAAGCTAGCCATTAGTGGAGGAATGAACCACTTTGTGTTCGTTGTGTACAGACAAGCCCTGGCCTCAGTGGTATTGGCACCCTTTGCATACTTTCTTGAAAGGTAAATCCCTCATTTTTAGGGGTGGCAATCGGATTGGGCGGCAAGTTTATCCGAACTGGGTCTATATTTTGGACCCAGAAAATCGGGTCCAGGTCTAAATGACTTGGACCAAGCCCAATCAGGTCCAACATGGACCCGGTCTAAAATAAACAAAAAAAATAGCACATATAGTAAATAATATAGTAAAATAATTTTTACTTTATTTTTTTGATTTTTAGACCTAGATCCACATCGGTCTGGGTTTGGTCCGGGTTCAAGTCACTTGGACTTGGCCCAAGTTTGGTGGGGGTCAAACCGGACCCCACTGCACCTGTTGCCGCCCTACTCATTTTTATTTGTTTTCCTAATTTTTCATTTGTCAACGTAGGCAAATATTAATTGTAAATTGTCGAAAAAATATCATTAATATTGTCAAATCACTCAAGTTAACCAATTTATCAACAAAGTGATTACTTTAATTGAAGGTATCTCCACAATTGTTTTGTTAAAATTATACAAAATATTCATATTCTAGATTAGATCTCCTAAATAAGAAAAGATGCCCATGAGTTTGAGGTTCGAAACCTGGAACATGTTTTTTAGAATAAAATCTCTTGTTCTAGATTTGGATCCTAGAAAAAAAAGGAATATTCATGTCATTTTGCTCAGATGCGTGAAAATGAGCCAAATAGTGAGACACTTGTTCAAAGTTCCAAATCTAAAACTTGTTTTTTTATTAAAATGTCTTATTCCGAATTCAGAATCTAGAACAAATGCATAATATTTTATTATTTTACTCAGAATCTAGAACAAATGCATAATATTTTATTATTTTACCCAACTCCTTGATGGGTCAAATTGCCGAAATGCTAGATTCCAAATCCAGAATATAGCATTTTGGGTATTCTTACAAAATGGCCTAAAAGGGCTTGATGAAATAGTGTTACTAAAACAACCATTTTGTTGGTCCATTTGATCAATAGTTTGATAATTTTAAATATACTTTCCTTTATTTAATATACTCGAATATATCATACATTTATGTGTGCATTACCGCCATCGTTTTCATCAATAAATACTATAGAGGAGCAATTGTGTGCTTTCTTAGTGCCAAAGGAATGATTCATCTCCACCATTAATTGACAAGAACAGATGGAGGATGGCAGCATCACACACTTTTAGTTTATTATTTTAATTGATTTTTCTTTCATTATTGAATGTTCACTTAGATAAAAGTGGGAATGGAACTCTAGACCAATATTTCGAAGCTTGTCGGAGTCCACTCGGAGTTTACTTTGCCACGCCTTATGGGTGAGGGTGAGTTCCCAATGAGTTTGGTGCACAACTCGCTAGGCCCAAATAAATACTAAAGCAATATATCAAAAAATAATTATAAAATGTGTATATATATATATATATGAGAAATAATCCTATAAGACTTTCTTCTATCTATATGTGTAAGACCTCAAAGGATCACCGTTAAATTTGGCACGGAATTATAGAAAAGTCAAATCCTACACCCATGTGATGACCTTATTAGAGATTTATGCCAACTTTAATAGTAATCCTTTGAGGTCCTACACACATGGATGGAGGAGGGTCTTATAGAATCTAAT